GGAATGTCGGCTCCTTGAGGGCAGAACTCACTCCTTATTCCGCTCTGAGTCTTCTCAGCACCTCATGAGGGGCCTTTTTACGTGAGGTGGTGCTGGGGGGGGGTACTGGGGGGGTGGGGGCGCTCCCTTGATTCTGTGGCTTCCTTTACTGTTTGACTGGAAACAAAGGCCGATCGATTCATTTCTTCAGCCAGTATTACGCTTAGCATAGTGACCAAGACAAAGTCACCGCCTTCATAGACCCTTCAGCCCAGTACGAGAGACAAGCAAAAGAAAATCAACACCGATGGTTCCAGGGTACCATGACTGTTTTGAAGGACATAAAACCAGGGGCTGAGATGGAGAATGATGGCGAGGAGGTGACTGGTCTAGATACGATGGTCAGAGAAGGCTTGCTGGAATTCCCTGAGGAGTGGACATCTGAGCTAAAGCCTGAAGGACAGGGCAGTGCCCATCAGAAGGGTCATTCGCTGCGTAGCTCTTGAGGCTGGAAAACGTGTGACCTGTTTCAGGAGCTGAAATAAAGCATGGTAGCGGGTCCTGAGCAAAGGGGAGAGTGGGAGGTAATGGGGGGGGGTGTGATAGGGCCAGAGAAGTGGCCTTTGTAGCCCTGGGGAGCTGTTGGATTTTATTCTAAGTGCAGTAGGAAACATGAGGTGATGTGACCTGGTTCATTTCTATATTTTTAATTATGTTTGTTGCTGTGCGATGCTGGTAGCCCGAATTGAGGTGTTGGAAGCAGAGATAGAAAAAAGTAGTTGTTGGATTTGAGTTATACCAGTATTTCGGAGATTAGCTCAAAGGATTGCATATGGATGGGAGGTGGTGAGGGAAAGGGAAGAATCAGGGATGATTTTGAGCACCCGGGAGGATGGCGGTACCATTCCTGAGATGAGGAAGGCTGGGAAGTAAGGAGAGGAGATTTTAGGATGAGAGAGAGGGCTAGGACCCAGAGTTTTGTTTTAGATGTGGTAAGTGGCAGATTTACATGAGACCATCAGGGACTGAGACCCAGTAGGATCTGATCTGGACGTGTGAGTCTAGGGTTCACAGGGGAATTCTGGTCTAGAGATAAATGTGGATGCTTAAATCAGGATACAGAGAGGATGCTTAAATCATGGGGGGATAGGTGAGCTTCTAAATGGCGGTGTTTCCTGGAGCTAGGGAAAGCAGCTCATGCTACCCACATGGCCGGTGTGAGAATTTGCTCCTTCAGGGTGTGTGTGTGGGCTGTAGCAAAACTGTAGAACCACAGTTATTTTACTACAAGACAGCCCCTTGAAATTTATTTATGCCACCAAGGACCAGGAAGGTGAAATGCTACCCTCAGTGTCATAAAACCATTCTCTGAGCTTGTTTTCAGAAAAATCCATATCTGGATGGTGTGACCGAGTCATTAGCGGTGACTGGCTGGCTGTGTTCTAATCGGTCAAGTGTAACTTAAGCCCCAGAGGCCTTTGGGCAAGTCAATTAGTCTGAAGGTGGCTGGGTGCTTGTTGGTGCCCCCAGATTAAATCAAGGGCAAAAAGACAGCACAGAAATTGGAAACCTAGAAGAAACAACAGGAAAACAGGCAGGAAGATGCAGAATTGTGCTCATCAAACCTGAGGATTTATAAGAAATACCCGAATAGCTTCTTTAGCGTGCGAAGTCCTGTGCCTCACCTCATGGGGAGTCTGATCAAGTAACTCTGGGTTGGGGCTCAAGAGATTCTGGTGAAGGTTGATCCATGGATCATACTTTGAGAAACGCCGAGTCTGAAAAGCTAAAAAGACCTTTGAGGTCATCTAGGCAGCCCTTGCTTACAAATGGCGAAGCTGCCTAAGGAGGAGAAGGGGCCAGCCGTAAGCTGCAGAGCACGTCGGGAGGCCCACGCAGCCCCCTGACTCCCATGCCTTCATTTTGCAGCTGATTCTTCATCCTAACATATGGATCAAAAAGCACATCTCCCTCCCAATGCCCAGCTCCCCTTCCTTCACTGTATTTTTTTCTTTTCTTTTTTTCATAGCAGGCATCGCCTAATGTAAGAATAATTCACTAATTTACTGTGTTGTTATTTTGTCTTGCCTCACTAAAATGTGAGCTTCCTAAGGGCACTGATTTTTGGTTTTGTTTTCACTGAAAAAAAACACTCCCCCCTTCCTTGGGGTGTGAATGAGTGCGAAGTACTTGAGTGGCCTCCCCAGAAATGGCTGAGTGACCTGTCACCACATTAGTTTTGCTGCGTGTGTCCTATGTGCCTTGGACAGTGCCTGGCCCATAGCAGGTATTCAGTGAATATTTGACAAGTGGGTGGATGAAAAATATTTTGTTAAACTATAAATAAGTTAGTGAGCATTGTGGAACGTGCCCACCCTGAGGCATTGTTGGCCCAAAATAGAGTGTTTTCTTTTTCACTTGTTTGATTCTGGCTTGGATCAGAGGTTACAGGAATAGCTTGTTAATGAGAGATGAATAGAGACTTTCTAATAATATTAATAATAACAGTAACAGTTATTAATAACAACAGTGATAACTGCCATTTAGGAATGCTTACTATCTGCCAAATAAGTACTATGTGAAGTTTTGAGCAAAGAACATCACAGCCGCTAACTCATCTAATCCTCATGGAGGAACAGTATTGTCTGTTTTCCAGAGGATGAAACCGAGGCTCAAAGGACTGAAGTGATTTGTCCCAGGTCACACAGCCAGGAGAGACTTAGGATCTGGGATCCTGAAGGTGAAGTCCTTAACTACCAGTAACATTCAGTATTGGGTTTGGGGTGTTCGCTCTTTAGAGAGGAATTGGAAAAGCTAACGACGAGGCAAACATCACTTTTTGGGGTGTCCCTGGTCCAAGAACACCAACCTCCTAGATGGCATAAAACTACAGGCTGGAAAGAAAAATGCATTTTTTTTCAGCCTGACTTTCCAGCATTTGCCCACACTCTCGTCTTTCCAGTCTCACGTTACAAAGACCCTTTCGTCTTGAACTGTTAGGCTTTTCTCACTTCTCCACAACCTCCCTGAAGCGGGCCAAGGAAAATTCCTGTGGTGACAGGTCACTCAGCCATTTCTGGGGAGGCCACACTAGCACTTCACACTCATTCACACCCCACGCTCTAAAGGAAGCGGGGACAGAAAGAGGCCCCTTCATCCACCTTCCTGTACCACTTCCCTGTAGGGGCCTCAGGAAGGGGCTGAGGGAGATGATGATTCTATAAATCTCTCCTAAGACTTGAGGGAGCCCTTTGAGTTCTCGAAACACTGTACCTATTAAACTGGTTGTGAGCTCACAGAATTTATCACCGCCTGCTGTGGACAATGTTGCATTCATTCCCACCCTGCCAGCCAGGTCTGGCCTGGTTTGGATGCAGTGAAGACTCCGTCCATACGGCACCGAAGCCCCTCGCCCAGCAGCCGCAGGCACAGGTTGAACACGGTGTGTTCCTGGGCTTCAGTAAAGAGGGAGGCTGTCACACACAGGGCCATCTTTACTCACACGAGGTAGCAGGCGCGGTGCTAACAGCTTTCCAGCCCTGATCTCATTTAAGCCTAATAATAACAACCTGATGAGGCACTGCTGTCCCGCTTCTGTAGACGAGGCAGGCCTGGAGAGCCTGGAAACTCGCCTGAGTCGGTTGTCAAGTTCAAGAGCTGTGCTCCTTCTGCGATGCTTACGGAGAGCATGGCCTCTGGGTTTGAATCTTGACTCTGCCACTTACTGGCCGTGAGACGCTGGGCAAGATTACATAGCCGCTGTCTTTGTTGGCTTGTCCATCTGTAACACGGGGATGATAACATACTCAAATCATAGGGTTGCAAGGAATAAATGAAACAATGAATGTAAAACACGTGGTAGCACATAGAAAAGACGACATAAGTGTAGCCATTGATATTAGACATCAAGTCCTGTTTTCTTCTCTGGATGATGGAAACTTTTTTAAGATTTTTATTGGGGAATTGGGGGAAGGGGAACAGACAAGTTGCTGTCCTTTTGTTCTTCAGTCTTGTTGTGGAGGATGTTGCTTCACTGGCCCAAGTTGGCACCATCATTGCGCTCTTCCCGGGCGAGGCAGATCAGTCGCCGGCTTCTGGACGGCCGCTCACTGCGGCTGCTGGCCGCTCACGCTGGCTGCTGGCTACACACGGTAGCCCATGGCAACCCACTGCCACAGGGGCTGCAGCCTACGCCGTCGCCGGCGACTCACGGCAGCCCAGCTCCAGGTTGAGCTGTTGTTCAGCATCTTAGCTGTGGAGGGCAGTGTCACTGGCCCTCATATGTGGGATCCGAATCGGGGCCCTCTGGCTTCCCAAGCCAGCTCTTAACCATCGCGCCACTCGGCCGGCCCATGGATGATGGAAACTTAAGCTCAGAAGTTTCAGGGTTTCTCCAACTCTGTGCCCCTCCCCCCTTCCCGGAGTTGTGTCTATATTCCCAAGACACTTCTGTAGATAATCCACATACAGTGCTTAGAGTGGGCCCTGGCTTATGGTTAGCCCCTCACGTTAGTGATGATTAGTACGACAGCGCCAAGATATTGGGGGTATGGGAAGGCAGGGGCTGGGGAAGAGCGTCCGGTCCGCAGCCAGCATCCATGCTCCCTGGCGTCCAGGAGAAGCGCTCACTGTCCAGGTGCCCATCTCCTGGGTAGGACAGGAACGAGGAGGCAGTGTGTACAGCAAGGTACCGTTATTTTAACGCCCTGACAGTGAGTCCATACATCATTACTTTAAAAGAGAGGGGAGGTGAAAGCGTGACTCATTAATTTCCCGGTCAAGGCACCGTCAATCAGAGAGAGTAGCACTTTCGAACTCTTCCAGGGATAAAGTGTCTCAAAGAAGCTTGGTGGGGTGCCATTCGTCGGGTGCCATTCGTTTGAATGAACTGTCACCTTCCGACCGCTGCCCACGCATCCTCCTCTCTCCCTTCCCTCTGGGTGCCTGCAAAGGCTGACGTCTCTGCTGCTCTGCCGCTGACCTGGGCTGTGCCGTGACCATGCTTTCTGCTTCTCTCCTAGCTTAAGAGCTGGACAGTGGAGGACCTTCAAAAGAGGCTCCTGGCCCTGGACCCCATGATGGAGCAGGAGATTGAAGAAATCCGGCAGAAGTACCAGTCGAAGCGGCAGCCCATCCTGGATGCCATTGAGGCTAAGAAGCGGCGGCAGCAGAACTTCTGAGCCGGGCCGGCCGGGAGGGCCCCACCTCCACCCCGGCCCTCGGCGACCTCAGGCAGGTTTAGCCAACACTCCTGCGCTGTCATTTCTCCACAGCACCTTCGCGAACTCAGGAACGTGCGCCAGTGGGAAGGGCTGCCTGGACAGTCCGCGAACCACCTGATGTGTGTGTGTCGAAACTGGTCAGGTTTCATTATTTTATAGGACTTATCTTGGCGCTTTTAAACTCAGAGTTTTAAACCCCAGGAACAGAGACTCCTAGTTGAGTGATAGCTGGGAAAGTTTTACATGGTCTTTTGTTTTCCTTCTCCCAATAGCTTTCAATTGTTCTTTCTGGAGGACTTTTTAAAAAAATATATAAATATGCATATATATATAAATTATAACTCGGTCGCCCACGCAGTGTGGTGGCATCGCTGTACAGGTACAGTTTTGAACCATTGGCCTCTTTTCTGTAAGATTACGGTACTGTGCAACACGAGGGCAGAGGGCACCCGGGGCAGCTGGGGTCACTCGACGCCCAGGCGCCAAGCTCGCCCTTGTGCGGGGCTGCATTTATTATAAATCCTAGGTTTGGGCCAGTTCCCACCACGGTTTTGGCCTTGCGTGGGCCATCCAGCTTCTGGAGCTGTTGCCGATGTCCAAGGGCAAGGCTTGAGAGTTGCGTTTACTTGGCGAGTCCCAGGAGAAGCCTGGTGCCATCTTTGCAAATTGGCCTTGGCGGTGTCAGCACCTTTCCTCCACCTCCTGTCTCCCAGCTGCCTAAAGTCATAGCACAGACCCTGCCCAGTGCCTTAAGAGGAGATGTGGTCCGCTGAGGGGACAGACCAACCGGGAGCTCTCAGCCAGCACGGGGCTGTGCCGAGTCCACAAGAGGGAAAGGGTTTCCGAAGCTCTCGTCGGTCACGTCAAGATCCCACACGTGGCATTTTGCTCCACGCTCCTTACAGACCAGGGTAGAGGGCATTGATTTTGTGACCCACATTCAAATATGTGACTGTTTTCTTTTATTATTTTACTGCTAAAGGGTCTGGAAAGGACCCGTGACCATCAGACTAAGATTTGTTCTCCAGGAGGCTCAACCCAGACACGTGGAATGCCAGAGCCGGAAGGGACCCTAGACGTCATCTGGTCTGACTGAGGCTTGGAGAGGGCAAGGGACACGGCCAAAATCACAACGCAAGTTCGAGTAGGAGCTGGGACCAGACCCGGCTCCTCACTCCTGGTACAGCGAACCGTGCAGCCCCTTCTCCGGGGAGCCTCGTGTGTCCGTTTCGGTTAGGCTGTTCCAGGAAAGCCTGCTGACGGAAACGGGCCCTTGCTTTGTCTCTTCAGTGGGTGACTGGCTGTGAAGAGATGCTCAGGGGACCTGGTCATTCCATTTGGGCCATCCCATGGCCTCTGCGGCATCTGCCGGCTAGCAGACAAGCCTCATGTGGGCAGATTGAGGGCCAAATGCAGATCGGAGAAAGGCAGCATGAGCCCCTCTTCAGCATCGGCTCAGGCCACCTGTCATCTCGTCACTCCGCAAAGAGGAGACACTTGGGAAAGTCAAATGTGTTTTTATGTTCAAATTATCTCTTCCTCTCAGCTAGGGGTCTGTGACTGGGTTGCACCTAAAGACACTGTAATTTGACTCCTTAATTGCTTTTGCTGCCCAACCTGGGAATCAATGGAAAGGCAGGGAGCGTTCCTCTTCTGTGGCCACATTCTATTCTTTGCTATTAAAGCAAGTTTTTAAAAATGCAAGAAGCCGTTGTTAGTCCATAGGCCAGTTAAGCAGCTCTGTGGCAGATACAGAGAACAGAGGACAATTTCAGAATCCCGCTAGAATAATAAATAGCAGCTACTATTCGTTGGCCTCTTAGGATATGCCAGGCACTGAGCTAGGTAGGTTCTATGCATCAGCTCCAAACCTCACAATAACCCCATGAGTTAAGTACTCTTATCTCCATCGCATAGATAAAGAAAAACGTTCATAGAAGGAGAAAAAAGTTCTTCCTCAAGGCAGTACAGCTAATAAGTGGTAGTCAGGATTCACAGCATCACCACATGGAACCAGTATTTACAGGGAAAAGGAAAGTCACAAGTCTTTTTAAAAGCAACCACTTTCCCTTGTACAGACGAACTCCTAACGAGCATTTTTAAGTTGGGAAACAACTGAGTTAGTAGACAAGTCTGACGGCCAAGTAAGTGAGTTTTAAAAACCAAAGCATGGAGCAGCCGTTCCCCACACCATCTGCTGTGCTAATTAACAGTCCTGTCTGAGTCCCTTTTAAAAAGGACTTCGCACTTGGCCAGACAGGAGGGGAATGTCCTAGATCTAAGTAAAAGGAGGTTGAGTTTTTCCCCATAAATATTCTTGGGTCATGAATCTCGATCTGGAATTTCTTTTGTTTCAAGCATGTGTGCACCCAGCCTGCTGGTCCAACAAAGTCCATTGCTTCCCCAGTCTAGCTAGACAGACTCCTTTGCCAGAAATCAATTTCTTTTGGATCAGATAAATTTCCTGACAAGGTGTATTTGTTTTCTAGTAGCAGGAAGGCAGAGGAGTAAATCCTAGTCATTTTTTTTTCCCCTTGAATTCTAAATTCAAGATAGGTCAGTTTGCTTTCATTGAGCCCTGAGCATCAGTCATTGCTGGAGCATTTGTGGCTCAAGCTTCCAGGCAGCTCTTAGCCCCTCGCTTGTTCTCTCCCAAGAAATAATGAACCCCTCCCCCCCCCCATTGTGTGTTTAAAAAACTCAAATTCTCAAGAATATCGTAATTGCTTCCTCATCAGTAATTTTGAAGTAGATTTCTGTTTTTCTTTTTCCGTTGCCCCTTCTCCCAACCAATTGGATTGTCAGATGAATGTTTGGATGGATGGATGGATGGATGGATGGATGGATGGATGGATGGATGGATGGAGAGAGAGAGAGAGAGACAGGCAGGCAGGCAGACTCAATACTCTGAAGTAACTTAAGCACTATAGCCTTAACTCCTTGAAACTATAGATTCTGATCCAGGAAACATTTATTTAGCACCCGCCATATGCCAGAAATTCATTATACCATTTAAAACTCAAAAGCTTTTATCAATATCAGGAGTGAAAAAGGGGACATCATTATAGATCCTACAGATATAAAAAGGCTAATAACAATATTATGAACAACTTTGTGCTAATAAGTTCAATAATTTCAATGACATGGACAATTTTTTTTTTTAACATACAAAGTACTAAATTCACTCAAGAAGAAGTAGATTCTGAAGAGTCCTGGATCTATGAAAACATATTAGCTCTGGGAGATACAGGTATTATTGTCCATATTTTACAGATGAGGAAACTGAGGTTCAGCGAGATCAAGTCCACTCAATGCTCAAGGTCACGTAGCTAGAATACGGCAGAGCTAGGATTCAAACCCAGCTCTCCGGACCCCCAGTGCCCTTTCCAGCATACCATGTTGCCTCTGAAGATTGTAGCTCCTTATTTACTGGAAACTTGTTCCTGCCCAGTCCACACCCTCCCACCCCATCCTTCCTTAAGCACTATGTTTGTGTTTTCATCAGGATTCTATTCGTTGTCTTTGGAATCCATGTTCTGATTTGTGTTTGGGGAAAATAAAATCCTCTTCCACCAGCTTACACTCAGACCAACTTGAAAAACAAAACAAAAAAAAGCATAAATGCTGTTGCAGATGTACAATTTAAAAATGTGAAGTTTGTAGCTTTAACTTTTTGTAACAACAACTAATAACACTGGCTTAAGTGCTGATTTGAAATGCTATTTTCTAAGATTTGGATGTAAATAATCAGTCAAAGTCGGCAGTTTGTATTGTATATGTAGGAAACATAGCTTCCTCCATTGCTTTTTTTTTTATTTGAGATGCCTCCAATGTGCTTTTATTTTGGAATTGTTGTTCTCCCTCCTTCATTCTTCCTACACCATGTCACCTTTGTTTTAAATAAATTGCCCTTCAGACCACAGACTATCCTCTTTTTAAACATGAGACCCTCCATCTATAGCCTGGATTTCATGACATTGACTTGTGTTGTGTTTATTCTAGAATCCAAAGCCAGCGAGAGGTAGGTAGGAAAGCAAGTAAATTTTGTTGGACCCCTACTGTGTGCCAGGTTCTGAGCTAGTCGTCAGGGATGTAATAAAAAACCAGACACAGTTCTTGCAGACCAGTTCAGGAGTCCATCGAACACACGAGAACACATTGAAATACTATGGTAGAGGGCCGGCTGAGTGGCACATTGGTTAAGAGCTGGCTTGAGACGCCAGA